GTCATCATCATGGCATCATAGTTATTATATAATGTGTGTCTTACGTACTTCTGGACGTACACCGGGTACGTGAAATCGTAACTGTTTGTCTTTAGATTCCTGTCTGCATCGCGAATCGCTCTCAACATTTTAGCGTACTTGATTTTACTTCTTGGACAGCAATGCTGGACCATCTGGTTGATTATACCTAATATGGACATAAAAGCATGCGTAATAAAGCAATGTGGTCATGGGGCTTTTACAGCGAGCATGCGCAGTAATGAGAATGACTCTGCTTGATCGCAGTTGTGTCATAGGTCAGTATGTTAGAGAGGATTGAGCTGGATTACCCCATTGCAAACGCTAGGTACTTACGCAAGAACCTTACGCAAGGTATTTACGCAAGACACTTACGCAAGACACTTACGCAAGACACTTACGCAAGACACTTACGCAAGTTACTTACGCAAGACAATTACGCAAGACACTTACGCAAGGTACTTAAGCAAGGCACTTAAGCAAGGCACTTACACAAAGTCCTTAAGGAAAAAAAAATCCGTATGTCAAACTTTGGGTATTCTAGGGCGGACGATATTATAGTAAATAATTTATGGTCTACTAATAAAAGTTGTTAAAAAAATTCATTAATAATTCATAACCGTACGTTTGTACAACCCGATGCTCCCCACTATTCACGAAGAAAACACTTTATATCACATAATGTYGAGCGAGTCTGGACAAGTCTAAACTTACCTGGAAATATCCCGTATGCAACCATTCCTTTTGAACCGTTAATCGTACGTGGWCCGGTCACTCCTGAGTATGGTTCATTAGGTAACCAAGCCATGGACAAAGGATACCCGGACTGACAGCGCTCATCGAATGACATTGACTTGGTTAGATTCAGAAACGTTTTTAGATTTCGAAATCCTAGAAAATGAAATAGAGACTGTCATTTTCTGGAACTCACAGCTAACGCAAGCACAAACGCAGTCGCAAAAGAAATGTTTACGACGCAGGAGTCCATTATATTAGTAGAGTGTGTTTTTATAGAGTCTAAGATTTTTCTTTAGTCGTAGTATTTCTCAGTAGAAGTCTATTCACGTTTCCTTAATTGAGAAAGACTAGAAAACAATTCGCTTTCACTATCGTTCGACATTATTCTATTTTGCTTTTCCGCGGATTTCCCACTCGCGCGTAATACCGCAGGAGTGATTGCTCATTGTTATGACAAAAATCTAAAAATAAACACAATCCAATGCACATCATGGACGCTCCTTGTAACAGGCTTTTGACGAGAAAACGTAGACGTAAGAAGGGAAAATTCTTGCGATTGCGTTTATGTAAATATTTGATCCTAAAAGAAMTTGYAGWGGTGTTTGCGGCGCAGCTTATTAAACTCGTACCYGGTGGGATGTTCARTATATTTTGGAAAGGAATAAAGATGGTATCATCGGTGAGAATGACGTTGCCYTTCCAGGAAATGAACAAAGCGTGAGACTTGGACGGCAAGTAAACGGCAAGCGCCACTGTAACGACTACCAGCAGCCAGTCTCTCATCGCGAAAACTGAAACACAACCAATTGTTAGTCACTGATTGACATGTKWAAGWAGAGAATTTAAARGATCTGTRAGTGTGAATAGGCCTTTTGCATGAAACGGTCAYATGGTACTAAATAAGCCATTCTGGAGGGCAAAAGAACTCAAACAACCTCAAAAAGGACGCAGACCGTCAAGTTTGACTTTTCTTTGTTTTGAAGATCCCAGTGAGATTTTTTCCCTCCTGTATGGGGAATTTATTCACATGGGCCGTTTCATGCTATGGCCTATTATGGTTCTTCCGAGTCCATTCCCAAGCAGGATTATTATTCATAATTATAGGTGATCTAGAAGGAGCGCTATCCAAGTTTTCATGAATATGCGAACTCCATTCTCTATTTTACTGGCTCCTGTCAATCCAATTACTTAAGCAGAGTTGCTTTCGAGGTTTCTCCACAAAACCGAACAAACTTCGAACATGAATTCGCTCGGTTTGTTCGGGTTTTGTTGATTCGCGAAATCAGGTACGGTGGTGAAGTTTGGAGTTTTTATTGACGAGAGTTCAACCGGTCGCATTTCCAGTAACTGAAATAACAAGGCTTTGAACATGGCTATGAACATTTTGAAGAAGGGAGGGAGCCTCATTTGATTGTGAGATTGTCTACAATGTAGCTCAAATTCCCCAGGAAAAAATTCGTACAAGAACAGTTATTTAGAAGAACAGACCGTGTCGGCTCCTCCTGTCGATTCAGTTTTAAGTTGTATGAGAGGAAAACATGATATCCCAAGCTTTCGAGAATAACGTTGRTCAAACCCCAAACTATGCGATCATTAATACAGCCCCAGCTACACGCAATCAACAGTCCAGGACTACCTCTGCACATCACAAAGCTACCTACATCCAAACTTCGACATTCCATGGTCTTGACGTCTAATTCAGGATTCCAGATAATATTTTGCTTGGTTTTCAGCAGGAGATTGTTTTTGTCTGACTCCTGCTGACTCCCCAATCACAAAGATTCCCTCGACCATTTGTTTTCAAATTCAGGGATTGCAATTCTTTATTTTCTTATCCGATAACTTATACAATATTTAAGCTAGGGTTGCTTGTCATGTCTAAATTCAACAGAGTATGGTATGAAGATAAAAAAATTTAGACGATTTGAGTCGACGATCGTTTATTAGCTACAMTCTCCAGTTAAATAGGTTCAAATTGAAGAGTTAAGAGTGTATTTTTTTATCGTGTAATTACTGTAAACTCCAAACTAGACTTAGTGGGATTCGTATAAGATGGGTAATTCGTCAGTTTCGTGTTTTTTATTAAGGATTTTCATCCAATRAGAAATTCAAGTTGAAAAACATACACTCAGTTACTCGTCTAGTTTTGATTGCCGCTAGTTTTCAGGATGGGTGATGAGTCGGGATAAAATGTGGTACATCTAATGCCCTGCTTATACGAGATAGGTAGCATAGCCAAACGTTTCCCTTGGGGATTTAAAACAAAAGAGTTTGGCTGCACTATCTAGGAGCACTTTATCTCATATAAACACGGTCTAAAAACGACATCATCCCCTTCATAAACAATATCTTCCCGTCTAAACAACTGTCAGTTTCTTGTTTTCAATCGTGAGATTCAAAAGAACAGCTGCCATGTTGGATGAATGAATAATAGATACTAATGAGAAATCCTTTGTAGAAGTTCAACCAATATGGCCGCTGTGACGTATATTGCGACGCAGAATAGGACCTAATCATATTGAAGCGTGCTATTTCTTTTGTTTCTTGTCCACACTGACACAGGGGAAAAACAAATAAAAAAAACCGAGCTAACACGGTTCACATAATCGAGCCCTATGTGTTCAAGTCGTTGTTATGCTCTGGGACTCAGAACGCAAATTAAAGAAACTGAGAAATCCATCTTCTCAAACCGAGCTACAATACTGTAAAAAGAGGTTGCCAATTCACTATTCAACAAAATTCTAGATAGCGCTTCTTGTTCCACCGCTAGCTCCCCTCCCAAAGATAGTGTTGTTAGCACCCAAATAGCATTCAGCAAATTTGCCCGATCTTCGAAATACNTCTCCAGTTAAATAGGTTCAAATTGAAGAGTTAAGAGTGTATTTTTTTATCGTGTAATTACTGTAAACTCCAAACTAGACTTAGTGGGATTCGTATAAGATGGGTAATTCGTCAGTTTCGTGTTTTTTATTAAGGATTTTCATCCAATAAGAAATTCAAGTTGAAAAACATACACTCAGTTACTCGTCTAGTTTTGATTGCCGCTAGTTTTCAGGATGGGTGATGAGTCGGGATAAAATGTGGTACATCTAATGCCCTGCTTATACGAGATAGGTAGCATAGCCAAACTTTTCCCTTGAGGATTTAAAACAAAAGAGTTTGGCTGCACTATCTAGGAGCACTTTATCTCATATAAACACGGTCTAAAAACGACATCATCCCCTTCATAAACAATATTTTTTCCGTCTAAACAACTGTCAGTTTCTTGTTTTCAATCGTGAGATTCAAAAGAACAGCTGCCATGTTGGATGAATGAATAATAGATACTAATGAGAAATCCTTTGTAGTGAGTTCAACCAATATGGCCGCTGTGACGTATATTGCAACGAAGAATAGGACCTAATCATATTGAAGCGTGCTATTTCTTTTGTTTCTTGTCCATACTGACACAGGGGAAAAACAAATAAAAATAAAACCGAGCTAACACGGTTCATATAATCGAGCCCTATGTAGGGTGAGCCATCCCTGTTCAAGTCGTTGTTGTTATGCTCTGGGACTTCAGAACACAAATTACTAAGAAAGAACCCAAATTGTCAAACAGAGCTACAATACTGTAAAAAGAGGTTGCCAATTCACTATTCAACAAAATTCTAGATAGCGCTTCTTGTTCCACCGCTRGCTCCCCTCCCAAAGATAGTGTTGTTAGCACCCAAATAGCATTCAGCAAATTTGCCCGATCTTCGAAATACAACTTTGAGCGATGGGTGATGGGGAGAAGATAGCAAACAAACCCTGCCCGATATTCGTAAAGTGTGGGATTTTACAAACATTATCAGTCAACTCTCTTTTTTCCAAGATCGTGGCTTATTATGAATATTCAGAAAATAATTCGTCAGAGCGCCTGCAGTAAAAAACGGCCATCGAATGTTGTACTTAATTTGTATTTACTCAACATGTCATTGCAAAACAGTTGTCATAGAGAAATAGATTATTTCAGTGTATTTAGTAAATAGGAATACATTAAATAGACACAAGTCTTTTTTTATTTATACCATTTTTACCAAAGTATAAATGTTCATTTTTTTTCTATACGGCAACGATTTTTCAAGTAGTTATGTGTCTCTCTCGAAATTAACATTTTTCAAAAGAAATATTTTGGAAAACAATAGAATCTTCACTCAAAAAAGCAGTAGGCTTTCAGATATACTTAAATATTGTTAACGTTAACTAAAAGTTTTAATGACGTGGTATAGATCCTSTCGTAACTGCTTTGTAAATAATTGATTATAAAACATTGTTCAGTTGCCACTCAAAGGCACATGTAGTCGCGATCTTCAAGATTCTGTATGATTTCTATCTTTTGTCAGTGGTTGCTTAGTTACTGAGTAATTGCTTGTGTTACCCCCTTAACTGAAGTATATGCCTTACGGGCCTAATTTACTTTTGCATTCATTTGCGAACCACTTCATGTACTGAATTATCATTGAAAAAAGTCGAACCCGATGTTTTTTCCTGAAGTTATGTCTAAGTAATTTAAGATCAAATGTATTCTCCTTCCTTATGGAGCAATCGATTTGCTGTAAACATCAAACAACGTTGCAGACACTTAGATGTGATCACTCAGCAGGAAATCGGTCACAAAGCAAATTCCTCTTCGTGCGATTCATTGAAAAATATATCATCCCAAACCATTGAAATCATCTGATAGTCAGATAAAAAGAACCTGGCCTCTGTTATAATTTGTACGCGGATTTCAACGCCATTTTATACTGGCTTTTCGACCATCTAATCTAGGTACCTCCACGCAAAGGCAAGATAGAYAAAAATATCGAAAAAATGATTTTCCCGGCCTTATGGGTGGCCATACAATAACGCGCGTCTGAAATTACCACAAAACTTCCTAATCAAACGCCTTTGCAAAAGCAAACTTTTTGACCTCCTTGTTACATACATTATAATTTAAACGTAAAATATCCTATTTAGTTTTTTTTAAGGAATTTTTATTCTGAAAAATAGTGGAATATCTGTTGTTGGGTTAAGGACTCTTTTCGTTGTGTCAGCTGCCGTTGAATTTCACCTTGCCAAATATCCTTTGGTTCAAATAAACGTACTTATGCCATCGGAAATATGTACACTTTATAAGACTGTACGAATATCGCTACAATATTGTACTATTTTCAGGTTAATTGGCAACAATGTAATACACTTTAAACACATCTACCGAATACATTTAAACAASTTATCGCATAGAAGATTTCAAACAAARCGAAAAAAACCTCTCTCTGGCGCGAGAGATATTTGCTAATCTTTGTCAATATTGGCGTTTTAATGTTGGGSTCTTTGTAATTTGAAATTTCTATGCATAATTTGGAGGCAATGGCTATAGAAATTCATTTGTCTGTAATCATTGATATTTTCCTGCTGAATTTTCACGTAAAAACATATTTAGCATTGAATTTTTTTTTGCCCAAAGGAAGTCAAAAGTATGAGTCACTATCACTAATCGAAATAAGAGAAGAAAAAGGCGATATAGCGATAAATAAATAGTCAATCTTTCGAGATATTACAATAATTGACCTATTTTTCGCTCTATAYGCTCGTGTTTGGATTATAGTTTTTCCTGCTTAACAACGTTTATAGCATCAACTTCGGAATTTTTTTTTAAGGGGAAAAACACTAGTTTTAAAGCGATTTTTCCAGAATACTTTGAGATTTGTGGTATGTTTTTATTCGCCGCAAAAGATATGGGGATTTTCCTAGCACTTCKGTCCATGTAAACCCATAATCCACCTACTAATAACATTCGAAGAGGTTTCACATGAGGAAGAAATAAACAGCTAAACAATAAAGTTTAAGGATTCCCAARAAAATTCCAGCGATTTGGCACGGCGAAGTTTGACAATAAAACCGCGAAATCAGCCCCAAAACGAAAACATTACAATTTGAAAACAAAATTACAGAGTTAAAAATACATTACCTCGATACAGTCTTTCTTCCTTAGTAAGAATTCATTTGGAGTGTGTTTTATGGGGTTATAGTGAAGATGTTATCTTATTTTGAATCCTTACGTATCGTCTTAGGTACACAGGTGAATTATGTTATGACCRCATTGACACATGCGCGGACTATGACAATCCAACGCCGGCTTAAAATATTAATCACACCGATCCACAGGGAAGCGTAATTTCTCATAAAAATACAGCCTAAACGACTAGCAAGCACTACCAGTTAACCACAAYGAGTGTATGTTTTCGAATAGAGACGATTTCTGATGGTGATTAACTTAAGCTGTATTTTCACAAACTGTATGATTTAATTCGTGAGGTCTTAAGATTTTTTTTTGTCGGCAGCCTCAATGAATTTGCATTCTCCGTTAWAGTCCCGACAATCAGTAATCACATCAGATAGAAAATAATTTGAAACAAAAGAAATAACACTGCTATTACATTCTATTTGTCTAAAGTTGTGATGGAAAAGTGTCTTGAAGAATACGGTCGCGTATATAAAATTATCAAAAACGTTTTGGCTCAAAATATTATGAGATATCCGTGTAAGAATCGCCTTATTGCCTTGGTCTATCACTTGTATATTTATTAATTTGATTTCACTACGGAAAAACATCGGCTTTTCTTTGTTTTACAACGTCAATAGACACTAAGAAGTAGACATAATCGCCACTTG